CTTCTCAATTTCAACTCCTTTAGCCATGTTTTATCGTCGAAACTATTATACTCCTACATAAAGTTATTTCGCCTTTTTTTCTTTCATCAACATAAAGTACTTTAAATTTGAAATTTCTAAAGAAAAGGCAAGAAGTACGCTGCATTTTATTCCTTTGGACACGAAAGGATATTCAAACTCCAAACATTAAGGTAGGGGTGTTTCGACGTTTTTGTAAGTGATGTAAGATTTATATGTTTTCGTTTGCGTTAAACTCCTTATTGTGTTTCTCATGATGGAATCACCGTTTAGTGTTTTATACAAGATATGAAGAGATGATTATGATAAATGAAATGGGGTTATCAAAACCTAAAAGTAAGCGGGCTGACTGATCACCAATTCGCTTGAAATTGACGGTGATACAATCGAATAAAGTTTGCATTTCTGAAAATATATATTTTTACCATCTACTTAAGTGCTTCCTACTGAGTATTATTTATAGTACTCATCCCTACAAATAATTTTACAGGTTAAAATTGAGGCATGACAGTGGTTGGCATAGTGGCAAGTGTTCGGCGATCTCTAATGCTTTCAATTTCTAGTAAATATTTCCATTTATGTAAACATTTTATGGATATTTAGATGACACTTTTTAGAAATTTTTTAATGTTTAGTTTGTCTAGTTTCATAGACGATGCATGTTAACTAGAATTTAGAGGTGTTGGATTGAATATGTATGAAGTTTAAATTTATGCTAGGTTAAATTTTAGATTCTGTCCTCCTTTTTTAAAATGGTATAACTTGGGCTACGGTGCATGTTTTTAAGTGAAATCAGTGGGCTTTGAAAGGTCTATGAGTCTTCTAATAGTGGCCTTTGGAATTTCTCAAAAATATTATCTAAAAAAATGTTATGCCCGTTTTAGTAAACTGCGTCGTGTCGAATATGAGATTCCTGTCCAGCATATTCGAGTAATATTTTCGTGCTTCAAACGTTATCGTCGAAACCCCAAATTTTTATATGTGATACATAAATGAATGCTTTAGTCCCTGTAAAAATTTCATAAATTTCAATAGACATTTGTTAGGCCAAATATATTTTTCTTCCGCTGTTGTTAAATTCGTAATTGTCGATTTACCTTCAGATACAACATTTGAAATGTATTTATGAATATTAATGTATGTTTGAGCTGAATACCTTTTGTGAATAATCATTATTTTGCAAATTATTTTGAGAACGTGACCATATTAAATGTTTATTTAAGTCCTCAAGAATTAACTAAAACCTATTAGATACCCACTAATTAGACTTTGAATAACTGGTAGGAAGATGAGTTCATTAATGCCTCATCGATGTGAGATCATGAGACAATATGAAGTGTACGGGTGGAATCCAACGCACAATATGCATGAGCACATTTGGGAGATGCTTGTAAGGTGGATAGAGGTGAGACAACTAGGCTATATGGTCATTAGTCGTCGAGCCACCCGCCTTCTTATTGATACCTTACAAGAATAGTGGCTGGAGACTGTCGAATCAATTTATGATTATTTATAGGGTATTGTTGTGCCTACTTTGCCTCGAGAGATTAACTATGAGGCCTTTTGCATGGACCTGATTGATCAGTGGGAGTTGGTCCAACTCACGATCCCTGAGGACGATAGTGTACCTACTGAGATGTACATTCATGATGATGCACCTCCACCTATTTCAGACGACGAGACACAACCTTCTAAGAAACATAAGGTTCATGGAGGCTGGATTAGTAACGATGATGAATAGATAATCAAAATCTTAGTAGATTTTATTAGATTTAATTGTTATTGATGTCTAGTAGGATTCCTTTTGTTTTCCTGTTGATTAGCGTCAGACGCTCTATTATTGCTTTGTATTCCTGTTAAAGGATTCTATTTAGATGATAATAAAAGATTTTGAGCTGTAAATCTATTTCCTATATTGTGCAAGTACTGTCGACTTCTCTGAATGAGATTACATTTATGATGGTATATAGGACTATCACACAAGCAAGGACACTTAGGGAATTAAGGCGAGGGATTGATGAGTTGAAACAAGCCTTGGCTGCTCAGGCTGCACCTCCAGCTCCACCAATCCCACCAGCACCGCCAGTGCCATTGGCATATCCACATATACCGTCTATTCCGACGGTAGAACAGTTTCGCAGATATCGACCCCTACCTTTGATGGCAAGAAAGACCCTCTGCCAGCTGAAGAGTGGTTGCGTACTATTGAGAAAATCTTTCGGGACATCTCTTGTCCAGAAAACCAAAAGGTATTATGTGCTGAGTTTATATTAGTTGGAGGATCAAGCCATTGGTGGGAATCCTCATCACGTATTCGCACCGAGGAGGAACAACGTAATTTAACTTGGGACCAGTTCAAAATATAGCTAATAGAAAAGTTTTTTCCACAAGCTCTACGAGACTATAAGGAAGCAGAATTCTTAAGACTGGTACAGGGAGAGAAATTTCCGAGTATGAGAGCAAGTTCGGGAAATTGTCCCGATATGCCCCACATCTTGTAAGTGCTGAGCTCATGAAGGCAAAACGTTACAAGAGGGGCCTACGCCCAGAGATCAGGCAGATTGTGAGTTCACACGATCTCACCACTTTTCAGGTAGTTGTGAAGAAAGCTCAAATAATAACCTATTCAGGGGTGAAGTTGGTAAATCAGGGTCAGCGTAATGACTTTGGAAAAAGGAAGTGGCAGGATAAGAATAAGAATTCTTGACAGTTTAAGAAGCAAACACTTGTGGGCCAGTCAAATAATCCTCCATCCCAATGTCCTAAGTGTAACAATTTCACAAAGGGGAATGTCTGTATGGAAAGTATGCTTGCTATAAGTGTGGCCAACCTGGCCATGGGGTTTTCTCATTTCCATCGATTAAGAAACCCGAACAAGAGAAGAAAGGAAAAGCAAGGGTGTTTGCTCTGACTCACAATGAGGCTGTCCAAAATTCGAACATAATCACAGGTATTTTATCCATCTTTGGTACTCCGATTTATGTCCTTATTGATTCCGGTACAACACATTCGTTCATATCTAATGCATGTCTAGCTAAGATTAATGCTTCGTGTAAGAAGAATGATAATGTACTAGAGGTTAGTATGCCATCAGGTGGAACTATTGATACAGATAGGATAGCAACGGGGGTACAAATAAATTTTGATGGACTGACGTTAGAGGTCGACTTGTACGTTATAGAGATGAAAGACTTTGATATTATTTTAGGCATGGATTGGTTAGGTAAAAATCGAGCCACGATAGTATGTTTTGAGAAATAGGTAATTTCTCAAAGATCGGGAGAAGAGGAATTCAGATTTTATGGATCGAAGGTTAAGGCACTTCCTCGCATCATCTCAGCTTTGAAGGCAAAAAGCATGTTGAGGAAGCCTGACTGCCAGGGGTATCTTGTCAGTCTTATCGGCACCTCATCTCAAGATAAAATATTGGATGATGTGTCAATAATACGAGAGTATGCTGACGTGTTTCCCGATGATCTACTGGGTATTCCACCCAATAGACAAGTAGCACGATAGATTTAGTACGTGAAGCTACTCCCGCGTCCAAAGCTCCATATCGAATGGCACCAAAAGAATTACAAGAGTTAAAGATACAGCTAGAAGAACTTCTAGACAAAGGATTTATTAGATCGAGTGTATCTCCATGGGGAGCTCTGTTCACGAAATATTTTCTTTCGATTTAAATTACCGCAAGTGTACGGTTCGTTAACAAGTAATAAAGTGGATTCAATGAGTCCGAGTATCGTCCCACAGAGATTGGTTAGTTCAATTTTACTTATTCGACCTTAACCGAAACCAAATTACTAAAAATGAATGTGGACCTAATTAAAACTCTAAAATTGAAAAGATAACGCTACTTATGCGGCTTTTATGATTGTAATGAAATTAATAAGCAAAACAATAATTTAAAACTCTAAAATGAAATCAATTGTTGAGAACGCACGTTTGTTGTAATCAATAGAAATTAAACACACTAGGATCACGATTTCCCATGCAATTATCACTTTAAACTCTAGTTTCACAATATGACAACATAATTCAATTGTTGACGAATCAATGTTCCTAAGTCTATCCAATACTCTCTCTCGAGATGTATCAAACCTATTTCTACATACCACCGGCCTATATTTCCATGACAAGTGCATATGTAAAAATGTATGTAGTTTCATGAACACTTAAAGATTCACGTAGGGCATAGCGGTATATTTCTATCCCCTATCGGACCCTACGATGATTTATATTATG